ACCACTTCCTCTGCCTCCTCGCCGACTCCGTCCTTCGACTCCTCCACCACATCCTCTGCCCAGCTGCCTAAATGTTTTAGGGGCGGCATCTTTGCCGCCCCCCTGAAATCTGCCAGACCAAGGCAAACGCCTTGTTTGCCACGCGGGAGATATGCCCCTGCACACATGTACAGTTTAGATGGTGGTCAGCTGTACGTTCACAAAAGGATTTCTTCCAGACTGGCCTATGAATTTATTTACTGCCAAGACACTATGGAGGACCTTACAGTGGAATAATTCAAAATACTCTGTCCACAAGGAATCGATCACTCTCATGTTCCTTCAAAACTCATACAGGCTCACAAAGGCAGGGTTCTCCAAGAGCCGATTTGGTGAGGTGCTAATTAAGCTGTTGGCGATTTTTTGTGGGGGAAATGGAAAACAATTGGAGCACCAAGCAAAAACATCTACCGGCAGAAGAGTGTGCCTTGTGGGACTCCTAACCCCACCACTGCAAGGCAGGAGAAGAAGCCACCTAAGCCCCTATTTATAGTGAGGACCGTAGAACAAATTGGCGCCAAGTTGCAGCTACATAGGGTTTTGCAAACATAAAAAGCTTGTCTTTGCAGTACTCTCTTTAGACTTTACCCTAATATTAGAAAGAAAAGCCTGTTCCTTGCCAGCATACTGCAGAGAAGGATTCTTGCTCTGTGTGGAGGCAGTGTCTCTTTGCAGATGTCAGACACCCTCCATGCAATCAGCAAAACTCATGCTCCCCGATGATTGGAGAGATCTAGCTGTAATGTTGCAGGTGGTGTGCAAGACCTCTGCAGAGAGGAAGGGCCCTTTTCTGCAATATGCTGGCATGGGATCGGCGTACTACTTGTAAGCTGTGGTTGATTTCCAAATAAAAAAAAGAACTGTTAGAAATAGTACACCTTTGGTTTTGATGCACTTCATGTATTTAGATGCATTCAATCCTGAGTGTTGAGTGCTTTCATGTGATTTGGAGTGTCATTTGTGTGTGTTTTTTTAAATGTTATTCAGGCTTTAAGCATTTTGTTTTTGCCAATGGAAAGCTAGGCACTAGGAGAATGAGATATTTAGCCTTGAAAAATGCGTATTTTAAAAAGGTGCTTCTCTAAAGTCTACAGGGCCAAAATATCCCCATTCTGCTTCTAAAGTAGCTCATGTACTTTTTTGAGCTTCAGGCATCGAGCTACAGGCACTTGAGAGTTCATATGTGAACAGGTACAATTAAAAAGCATGGCATTTTGGTAGAGCGTTTTGAAGCTTTGCGCTTCAATCTACAAACGCTCATGTGTGAACCAGGGCTAACCTGGAAGTTCAGATGGGTTTTAAACACAAAGAACCCTAGAGTGACAGCTTTCGGATCTTCAGTCATCTCTTGCAATTGATAACATCTGTATCCATAATAGCGTACATTAAGAAATTGGTGTTCGGGAAAGCAGGGAGGTGAAAGCAGGCAACGGTACAATGTAAAGCAGCTGTGAGACATTTTTATCAATCACATCTAGGATTATCTGGAGGTCGGTCTGCAGAATAGGCTGTGTGCCCACATTCCGGGACTTGTGAAATCCAGAGAGGGTTTCCTTTCACTCACTAATAAGTTCCTCCACAAGAGGAATCCTGGGCTAATGTGGACTGATGACTCATCGTGATTGTTAAAAATTTCCTATAGAATTTCCAGATGACCTTCCGTCACTATTTTTCATGGTAGAACAATGCTAAGCTGAAAAAAGAAAAAAAAGGAGAACGACATTGCAAACCTCAGCTTTTCTCTACTAACTTAAAGCAGATGAAGCAAGCATGCTATCTCAGAATAACAAAGCCACTAAAGTATAAAGTATAGTAATTAGATCCAATAAATATCTAGACTTTATTTAAAGCATGGTCATGAATTTGGGGGGAAAAACAAAAAGACAATGAGACATCTAATGTGTTCAACATTCTTTCAAACTATTGTTATCTTTTTCTCCATTTGCTCACAGGTACTTGTTTGTGTTCCCAGCACTCTCTGCTCTGCCAATGAGTGTGAGAGCTGGAAGGGGATGGAAAGATCACAATGCAAACATTTCCTTCTTGAGCATCCAAAAGGGGCAACCTCCATTTCAAACATTGCTACTAGAGGTGCACCAAAATGAAAATTTTAAAACCGAAATTAAAAAGAATGTCAGGCCAAAACCGAAACAGAAAATGTTTTTTATTCTAACTTTTTCAAATTGTTTTTATATTTTATTTTTTTTCATTCAATATTTGTATTTTTTACTTCATTTTTAGGGGCTTCGGGGAAATATTAGGGGTCTACACACCACTGATATTTCACTTTTAAAATAGAAAAATAGATTTTCTGCAGCCCCTGTTATAAATGAACATGAATCCTCTATATTGAGTGTTCCTGTTTATTCATAACTTGTGGACATAGATTGTCCTCAATTATTTACAAACACTCAGCGATCACTGAGTGTTTGTACGTGTTTTCAGTCCTGTCACAGGAGGCTGGGTGGGGCGAGAGCTCAGCCTCCTGTGACAGCAATGACAGCCGTCTACGCCCACACCACAGCTCTCCATCATGGGTTGGCTGTCACAGGAGGCTGGGCAGGGCGGTGTGGGAGGAGAGCTCAGCCTCCTGTGATAGCAATGACTGTCTCCTCCCACACACTGCTCTCCTGATCTGTGACAGGAGGCTGAGTGGTGCGGAGAGGAGAGGCACAGGCCGCTCACAGCACTGTCCTCCCGCACCGCTCAGCCTCCTGTGACAGCACTACAAGCTGTCTCCTCCCCCACACTGCTCTCCTCTGATCTGTGACAGGAGGCTGAGTGGTGCGGAGAGGAGAGGCGCAGGCTGCTCACAGCACTGTCCTCCCGCACCGCTCGGCCTCCTGTGACAGTTTCTCTCCTCCCCACTGGGACACAGAGCAGTGCCCAGCAGGGAGGAGAGAAAGAACGGATGCACCGCTATTTCAGCCAGAAAATGCCACTTTCAGCATTTTGCCAAAGGTGCCATTTTCGCTGATGTTTCGGCGGCCAATATATTGGTGCATCCCTAATTGCTACAACTTAGTACATGGGCTGTGAAAAGCAAAGCAGACGTGACATCAGGAAGTATAGGAGACCAATTGTTTTTCATTCACAAATTTTTGGTAATCTTGATTGTTAGATGTCACTTCTAAACTGTGAACCTTAGAACAAATGGGCCAAATGACTTACTGAAGTATACGAAGCAACAACCCAGGAAGTCAAAAGTCATAATTTTAAGTGCATCATCTTAGCTCACCATGCTAGATACATTTTAGCTCTTGGTCAAACATGCAGTTACATGATGTACTGCTATGGCTCCCATCTCAGTCTTAAAGTACCTCTAAACGGAACGTCAGGCACATGTTTTCCGTACAGTGTTTTGTTTCATATTAAAACATTAAAGGGAACCTAAAGAGTGAAATACTTGGCCAATTCAATATTTTCAGCATTTTTGGGCACCTCTAGGCATCTGCAAGTTGAGTCTGTTTTTACCATAAAGAAGAGCTCGAACTCTGGTTAAAAAAATGTATTAACCCAGTGCGAGGGTAAAGTGTTTGTTTTTGTGTTGGTACAAAATGAAAAAAAAAAAAGAAGAAGTTCTACTCAAACTCATAAAAAAGTTCTACTCACCAGACCACCCTGCTTCTGTGCTTACTAAAGCGCATCTCCTTCATGCTGCACAGATGGACCGCTCCTCAGCATCCTCACATCTATATACACAATATATTGAGCATGATGACACCAGGATCCTTAGACTGCTGCAGCAGAGGGGGAAGAGACTTTCTAGACACTGGTCTAAGAAGCCGGCTTGGATGGTCTGAGGAGTATAACTTTCTTTTTTAGCACCTAGACACAAACGAGCACTTAAATCTTGCACTGCGGAGGTAGCTACATAAGCCCCACTGCGAGGGTTAATAAAATTCTTTAAAACTGATCTCCGATATAAAAGGCACAAATACAGGCAGGTGTGTAGTTCGCATTACATCAGTAAATGCATTTTTTAAAAGCAGTGTAAGTACCCGACCAATTGGTACCTTGCAGTCTCCTCTACAGTCGTCTGTACGGCAGAGTGCAAAAAGGGGGCAGGAGAAGGAGCACAAGAGGCCAATCAGGTGTGCTACAATGCATAGACCATGCTGATAGGAGAATGAAGTAGAGTGACAAGAGATAATAACTAATCAGTCTGCTGCTTCTCGTTTCACTGTCCAGTCACAGGATGGGGGGGGACGGAGGAGAGCGGTAAGTAAAAGTCGAGTGCTGCTGTACAGGTGAAACTCGAATAATTAGAATATCGTGCAAAAGTAATTGCAGTAAGTGCTGGAAAAGGGGCCCAAACCAAGTACTGAGTACATATGCATGCTTGTACTTTTCAGAGGTCCGATATTGTTCTATATAAAACACTTGTTTTATTGATTGCATGTAATAATCTACTTTTTTGAGATTGTGGATTTGGGGTTCTTGGGGTTTTCATGAGCTGTAAGCCATAATCATCACAATTATGACAAATCACGGCTTGAATTATCTTGCTTTGCATGTAATGAGTCTATCTCATATATTAGTTTCACCTTTTAAGTTGCATTAGTGAAATAAATGAACTTTGCACGATATTCTAATTATTCGAGTTTCACCTGTATAGGGAATTGCAGAAGGCTAATACCAACTCATGTGCACTTGCACTGTTTGCTTTTAAAACAAATACATTTAATGTGTGTGTATTAATGAAAACAAAGCTGCAATAATCTGTCATTTTTATCTGCCTGGGGTTCAGCTTTAAACTAGAAAAGGAAGCATAATCCTAATGTTCATGTGAACAAACGAACAAACAGGCAATAACAGAATACCAGCACTGCTTTCATTTGTGAACATGCAAAAGGAAACAGATTTGAAAATATGTTTTTTGGGGGGGGTCACACTTTCTTTTTTACACTGTATGGGAAGCCCACGTCAACATATAAAGTTTGAATAAATGACAGTATTACCTCCCAGAAGCTGTCGCTTGACACTTCTACTCCGAGCGAATCATCGTAGTTTCCAGACATGATGTCCGAAGAGGGAATGCAGAGGTGAGCAAGACAGAGATAGTCCTACAATAGTCCAACGTCTTCTCTACTGAACAGTCAAAGCCTGGAAAAAAAAAAAAGCATATAAAATATGTTTAATGAACAAATACATAGAATATACTGACAAGGTTATTTGAGTTTACACCAAAACAACAAAAGCTCATCCTGCATAAAAGGACTGTTGTAAGCGTTTCCTACAATTAGTCACAAAAATAAGTCTTTAATAAATCAGTATTTATTTACGATTCATAAATGGAAATATTTATGAAATATCCAAAGTCATTTTTAACACACACACTATAAATATTAAGCCAGAAATTGTCAAAAACTCTACCATGCACAATGCAAGAAAATGAACTGCGTCTCTATAATGGGTATTTACAGCTTTAATAATCTTGTGCTGCTCAATTTCTGTATGGAGTAGAAGGTATAAGGAGATGCTTGGCAGGCCATTCTGATCCTTGCCAAACGCTTACGAAAGGACAGGGCAGCACAGTGAAGCTACCCAAAATGTTTATGCAGCGTTGGGCCTGTAGCTACCCATGTGTCATTTTGCTCTGTCTCAGCAGTCATCTGCCAGGAGGGCGATGCGACAGTGGGCAAAATGCCTCTCTGACAACACAGGCAATGAATGCTACTAAAAGCCTATTAAAGCAGAAGCAAAGTCTGTAAAATACATTGCTGGGAGGTAAGGCAGACATGCAAAGTCTCTTCTGCCATAAAATTCTCTCTGGCCCAGCAGTTTTTTTCATCTCTGTGTATACTGTACAGCATATGTGCGGTGCAGTGTACACACTCAGCCCAGTCATGGCATCGCTAAGATATCAAGTACTAAAAGGGGATACCTGGGTTTGCAAAGGCATTTGGTGTACAATAAAAAGCAGATTTATATCCTTTGTGGCTTCTGAGGAATATATTTAAATGAAAGATCGTGAGCCTTGATTTCAGCTTTGAAGTATAAATCTTTTTGGTTACAGTAGAGAAGGGTTTCAAGATTTTATTGCCATTTGTTCACCCCACTGGGTAGATTCACCCTTTGTGTCCCGTTGATCACTGACATGTATTCATCTACCATGCGTCTAGGGATAAAGACCTATTCCTTATCACGTGTAATTCTATCACATACAAATATATGCAGAGTACTGCTTACAGATGCGGCCGATGTCACCTGATTATTAATTTGAATGGGTGACGGTGGACGCATCTAAACGGCATATTTTGGATTTCTGCCGCAGGAATGCCAAAATGCCCAGTCACATAATGAACCCTAAATCCAATTTGTTTGTTTGAAAGGCAGGATCTCTCAGGCAGTAGAAGTCAAGTCTTGCTTATCTATTAAACATGTGCAGTATCAGACTAATGCACAGTGGTATCACCAAGTTCAAACATTCAGTTGTACTGGATCAAGGCTTAAACTAGCAAGCCGCAAACATCAAATACAAATCTACTGAGAGTCAGTGCCAAGTCTAGTAATGATCACTAAAACCAGCAGTCTTTAAACAACACATCACATCAAGGTGAAAAAGGTCCACAAGGCACTGTTCTGCTAGACTTGGAACATACAACTGCTATGATCTGGCATTGCATTTAAAGTTGAACTCTGGGAAAACCACAAAACTCCCCTTGCAGTGGAGCTGCCTTCCACACACAAGGGCTATAAGGGTTAAATGTTCATTTAGGTCTAGGGTACTTGGGGAAAAAGGACTTTTACTTACCTGATTCCCGCTCCTACAGGATACCTCTAGGCTACAAGACTGGGACCTGCAGCCTCGCCCCCACGTTTTGGCGCTCGGAGGCCCGCTGATGCCATCAAGTTAAATGCATTGGTAAACATGAGGACGCTTAGGGACAGTCAACAAGCTAAAGCGTAGCGGACATGAGGAGAGCGCAGACTGCAGGAGTGGGGATTAGGTGAGCAAAACTGCTTTTCCCAATACGCTAAACCTAAAATAGCATGTAACCCTTGCACTACTGGGGCAGCCCTACTGCAAGGGAAGTTCTGTGGTTTTCACTGGAGATAGGCTCTGAATTTAAAAGAGCTGTTACAATGACTATTTTGTAAACAGTCTGAAATACTCCCTACAGGCACATCAATTGATTCATTGCCAGGAAGCTGGACCGAACAGAGAAAATGTCCTCCACAATCACCCATCATGGTGCCGTACTCTGTAGTCTACCATTAGAATCCCAAAACTTTATCACTACAGGGCCTATCGCAAGGCTAACCAATGGGAGCAAGTAAGAATTATGTTAGGGGGGAAAAGGGAATGCCCTTAAATCATCCTGAAAGGCACCCCAATGTCCTTGAAAATGAACGGGCTAGTATAATGCAACACAAAAAAATGTGCATAAACAAGGCACTGCAAGTGTGTGCATGGGCCTTTAAATGTGCATTTTTAACCACTTTAAATCAAGAATGTCAAGTACAGATTTATCTATATGTTCATGACAGGAGCTATTTGCCATGCTATGAAGGTCCTAATTCAGCCATTTCCAATCCACTTATCTACCCATGACGAGCT